CCTGTGGCTCAAAGGAATAGGGCGCTGGCCCCATATGCCAAAGGTGGTGGGTTCAAACCCAGCCCTGGCCAAAAAAAAAAAAAAGCTATGGCATAATTATACCCAGGCATGTTCATGCACACATACACAGTGGTATGGGCCTAATCCTTTAATCAAAAGGCCTATAGAAATCCACGTTAGTGTAAGACAAGGCATAAGCCTTCACCAATATCTCTCTTTATGCATAACATTGCAAAAATTCTGCATGCTAATTAATTGTATATACAAATTTGTATATTACTTTTCATTTAATAACAGAATTTCAATTTATGTTGTTTTAAACTCAGCCTTCCTTTTAAATTTTACTTTTTCCTGTTATTTGTCACTTGTTTTGATTATTTTCAACTGAAAGCCTGTCAAATTCTTCTTTAATTGTAGAGCCTAAATCAGGAAGTAGCACTTCAAGTTAAACTTGGACCATTGTTTATATAGTATCTTTTGATGAGAAGTATTATTTTTGGCTTGGTTTTTTTTTTAATTATTATTATTTTTATTTTATTTTATTTTTTGAGATAGAGTCTTATATTATGTCACCCTCGGTAGAGTGTGGTGGCATCATAGCTCACAGCAACCTCAAACTCTTGGGCTTAAGCTATTCTCTTGCCACAGCCTCACAAGTAGCTGGGACTATAGTCACCTGCCCACAATGCCTGGCTATTTTTTTGTTGCAGTTGTCATTGTTGTTTAGCTGGCCTGGCCCAGGTTCAAATCCTCTAGCTTCGGTGCATGTGACTGGCGCCATAACCACCTCGCTACAGGTGCCAAGCCATGCTTGGTTATATCTTTGTAGAAATTCTGAAAGTGTAGATATAACTCACTTATAGGGATTTCTTTTAGTTACATTTTCTCTTACAGGTCTGTGTTTTGACTTTGTTCTTTTGCCTGTTGATATATTTGTATTTATGTGTTCATAAGATCTTTTTCTTTGCCACATTCTGTCAGCCCTTTAATACAGATGCAACCAAACCTACCTACACCTTCCTGCAGAAGCAAAGTAGTGGTTGTTACTCATTTTCCATTACATCTAACCCAGATGAAGACTGGCAAGAAGTCAG